ACACACACACACACACACACACACATAAATATTGCTCTACAAACTGTTATAAAAAACTATTTTAAAAGATAATTTTCAACAGTATGATATGCAAATAATTCTTTTGGGACATTTTTTTAGTATATTCGTTTAATATATTCTTTTTTCCATTATCTTGCAGAATAATATTCAAATAAATAAATCATACAGTGAAAAATGGTTCAAAAAACCTCATTAAAGAATTCCTTAACAATATAGTCCTTTAAACAACTATTATAATTCGCAATGTATCAACTATTTCATATACAGTACTATGTTTGTTAAACGCTAGAATTATGGATACAACGTAATAAAATTTTATTTGTGTATTTCATTTGACATAGTTAGGAGATTACGAATAAAGTAAAACGAGTTATTTGTAATTATAATATAAAAAATGCGTATTTTTATTTTAATTCATAGTTTCGATACAATAATTGTTCTTATTAACTGAAAAAATTTACCATGCATAAAATTATATCGTTCGTAAATAATACTCACTCTGATTCTGCTATTTACACACTAGAAATTAAATGGTAGCCGTTTGTTATTCTAAAATTTCGCGCGCGTCAATGCTATACTTTTTAATTACACGATGTAAATAGGAGAGCATGTATAATAATATATCAATACTTGCTCACAGCGATGATACATTCTACAATGTCAAGAAACCCTGTAATAAAATGATTGGAGATCGAACACAAATCTGAATATAAAATATATAATTTCCTCTGTCTCATATTTAATGTAAATATATTTAATATAAGTTCTCTAAAAGCGATTCTCTCCCTCTCTCAACGAAAAATTTAGGAGATTAGGTAAGTGAAACTATGGCTGATAAAGAACTGTATTAAAATTTGTGGCACGAATTTTATTCCGAGATTTACAACAAAAATTTCAACTAGTTAAAATGCCGCTTAATCTTGGGATATGAAACATTGACACGTATAACATAGGTAAATACAAGACGATGTGGACAATTCAGATATACAATTCAGTAGTTTGCATTGAACTGATAAAATTGATTCGTTTTTCTAATCATTTAGTGTTGTGTTTGCGACTTCTCAAGTAGCACACAGCGCTTACGTTAACAAAGAGCTAACAAAGCGCACATAATCACTTTTTTAGCGCTTTGCAAGCACTGCTGTGCTACTTGTGTTGGATAGGCCTGATGTGCTTCTCAGAGAGGTGGATTCACTAATAAATTCATTAATTACTTATTAAGACTCGTTGGCTGATAAATGAAACAGCCAATCCTCTCTGAGCAGCCCATGTTCATTCGCTATTATATCACTTCTATTACGATATTATAATTTAGGTACAATCTTAATTATTCAATATTAATGAGAATATTAATAATCATGTTTTATTTTGCTTGAATTAATTATAGATTGTAATCATAATTATTTTATAAAGATTCTTACACTAAGAATCGTCAGACATGAAGGAATTTTGGGATTTTAACTCCTCTAGTGTTTGAATTTGTTGACGGAGGAATAATATCCTAAAATAACAAGTAAATAAGCGACATGATTGTTTTGTTTACATATTTATTAAATGTGCTATAACATGAAACTTACCTTTGTTCCTGTAACGTTGCCTGAATTTCTGTCAGCCTCACTATCGATCGTGCCGTCTTCAATTCTGCGGACACTCTCGTACACTGCAAACTGCCCATTGTATGTGCTTCCTCACTAAGTTTCTGTGCCTGTACATAAATATTATTTAATTTAAGAAAATCATCTGGTAACAGTAAAGGGACTATTATTTAAGAAATACTGGATTCGCACCTGTTTTTCGAGAATATCAGCAGGAAAAGCACGCACATGCTGTGTTAAGTCTTCCCGATAATGATTAGCGAGAGATGGTGTTAAAGAAGGTGTTAAAGGAGGCTGCACTCTTGACAATGCCTGCAAACCTCCTGTATTACTCAAATTTCCAAGGGAACCTAATGTACTGAGACTTTGCAAGGAGCTTAGACCTTGAACTCCGGAATTCGTTCCTCCAGGACTTGTCACTATACAAATAAATGATAATATATATAATAAAATATAACGAAAAGAAATTTTTTTAAATACAAACAAAAATGGAAGAGATACTTAATAATAAAAGATAAAAAAATTTATTTCGACACATTGTTTCACGAATTAAAATAATTTATCAACATATTAGTTTACTTTCTATATTATATTTTAGTTAGGATATATTTTAATTTTAATATATATATATATATATATAATTTAGATGAAGTTAATAAATTCAAAAATTAAATTTTATTTTACCCAAACAGCTATTTTTAATTCAACCTAAGTATTTAAAAATTCAATTTTAGTATTGTGATTAAAATGGAAATCAAGTGTGCCGTAAATAAATCTCGTAATAAGAATCTATAATAGTGACAGTTAATAACTAACACAAGAATAGCGTTCTAGCCTATACTTAGTATTTAATCGAATTAAATGAACTGTAATAGAAAATGATTTATATGATGAAAGAATATAAGTACACATAAAGGCAAAAACAGTGATTTAAAATATAAGCATTATATAAAACAAAAGACTTACATTTTCGCGCATCAATACAATCCTGGGTTTCTGAATGTGTGGGAGTAGGTGGACCCTCGCTGGTAATATTGCCACTTGTATCAACTTTTAATGGAACCATCACATCACTTCCAGTATTAGTTCGATCCCCACTAACAGACTGCTATAATAACAAGTATATACAATTATGAATATCATTCATACATGTTTTACAATGTTTTAAAATAAAAAAGGAAAAAATAACTAGTTGATTATATTATAATTTGAAAATTACCGGATATGTTTTCGATTACGTCACAAAAAAGTAGTTAAGTTACCGTTTTGTTAATAGGCAAGCATTAATAATTATGAAATTTTCCCGATTAATTAAAATAGTGTAAAAAAAAATTTAACTTTCAAATTGATAATTAAAATATCAAATTTCGCATTACTTTAATTAAATTTTATTTCAACAGAGAGAAATATAACTTATAATTTCATTATATGTCTCCAAGTATTAGAAACATTAAAAATGCTCTCTTACTTGTCGGGATAGCAAGATAGCTGTTTGAATTGTCTGTAATGCTTTCTGTGGTGTGATGTCAGGTTGTTCTTTGTTGCCCGTAATTTGTGATAGTAGTCTTGGGAGATTTGCTAGTGACACCGGTGGTCCCGGAGCATTACTACTTCCCTGTTGTTGCGTTGGCGAACTAAGTTTTCCAGTTGCCTGTGGTGTCGTTGACGATGGATGTGATGTTAACCGAGGTAACGCTAACGAAAGTATAACAAAAATAACTGTATCAAAAATTAATAAAAATTGAGGCATATAAAAATGTAGTAAGTTAATATTAAAAGAAAATTTAAATTAAATTTTTTAATAAAAAAAATTTTATTTAAAAAAGTTCATAAAAACAATAATCATTGTAATTTCTCAAAAATAAAATGTTTCATGCATGATGAAATTATTATATTATTCAGAATTGTCACAAATATATTCCTCATCCTAAAAAATTCCATAACTTTTCCCTGATTTCCAGACAAAATTTAATGATTTTTCCTGATACTTTCAATAATATTTTGAAATTTTTGTATTTTTGTCTTAATTTGGAAAAATCAAGTCAAATATTTTGTTGAAAATGCAATTTAACATAACAATGTAAATTACTATTAATGTTGCCAACACAGCTTGCATTTTATTGTTAAGCTGGTAGTTCCAAAACTGCGTAAGTGTGATGTATGCATATTGAATGCATATTGAATGCTTCTTTAAAGCCAAGACTTTTTATTTTCCAGAAAATTTTGCAAAATTCCCTGACTTTTCCCTGATTTCCAGTTTTGTGGCATTTCCCTGACATTTCCCTGTTATTAAATATCATTTTAAATTGTAATATTTCTACTTTAAACATTTTTTTTACTTAATATTATATATATTTTGAAAAATATCATATTTTCTATATGCTGCAGCAACGTGTACATAATATATAAAAGGAAAACCTACCAGCGGCCAGGAGAACAGGGCCTTGTGGCAGTGGATCATGAGCGCAGGATGACGTTAAAGGTTCCGAAGTGGGTGTAGAATCACCTGGTGAGATATCCATATCTTGAGTTTGGCGTTCTACACTAACTTCTTCTCTACATTCTCTAGATTCTCTTTCTCTTTCCCGTTCTCGTTCTCGTTCACGTTCACGTTCTCGCTCTCGTTCTCGTTCTCGTTCTCTTTCCCGTTCTTTTTCCCGCTCTCTCTCCCTTGCGGAAACATCATCTCTGCTACTGCCACCACCGCTCGCGCTACATAAGCTCCAGTATTCTCGTTTGTCAGACTGTCGCGACGATTTACCATCTCGCATACTGCTACTGCTATTTGATCGCGAGTTGGAATGTTTATCATGACCTGCCCAGAACAATTTCAGTTTTGGTAAAGTCTTATATGTATATATTTCATATATAAAAAAGCAAAGAATTGTTTTATTAGAAATTCAAATTATATATGTAATATGTGAATGTAATTGTTCCTTAATCTTTTTAAATACATCACACAAACGCACACTGAGAGAAAAGATTTTGTTATAGGAACAAATCAAGGGAAAGCAAATGTGATATTTGTTAAAAAAACAATCGATTTGTTACGATTACAAATTAATTCGTCAATGTAAAATAATCAATCGTATCGCTAGCAAATAAGAGGCTCATATATATATAAAAGTCTATCCAAAAGATAGGTTAGATTCTATATAGTTTGTTTCTGTTACTAATAATTGGTTGGTATAGCAGACTAGCAGCAATCACAACAACATAATTTGTTGTTACATATTTACCGATCACCGGTTAAAGGTACTGGTGGCTTGCTAAATTAACAAAATCCTTTCTCTCAGTGCAATATGCATTTCTTGTTATTTTATTTAATAAATAATATAATATAAGATAAACTAAAGGATATATCAAGTTTTAAAATAGGAAAAATTAAATAAATATATATTTTATTTATATCAGTTTTCATAGAGATTTTTCTGTAACCAGGGTTGTCACAGAAAATGAATTAAAAAATTCCCTGACTTTTCCAGGTTTCCCAGATAAAAATGGGAAATTTCCATGAGACCAATATAAAATATGTAAAAATTTTAACATAATAGAATATGTAAAAAATTTTTTTTTACATTTAGAATCAAAGATTGTAAGAAAGCTAGCTTATATCATTAAAAACGCAAAAAAAGCTTAATAGCATAATAAAATTTTGGGGACAAATTCAAGCCAACAAAAAATAAATTAGTATTGGAAAAAAAATGCAGTTATGACGAAAAAGAGCGATTAAATAAAATTATTGAATAAAATATAAATTTAAATTATTTTTTTACAATCATTTAAAGTGCGAGTTTTAAACGTATTTGACTATAAACGTCAGATATAATATTTAAAAAATTATAAAAAATATTTGGAATAGCAGCAGTTTAAGGGAATTGTTCAATGTTTCTTTGTAAGTGCAAAGTTCAAAATTCTAGTCTCTTTTATATTATTCTCTAACTTTTCCCGGTTTTTCCGGTTTTCTAGGTCTGTGGCAACCATGATAACGTAAATACCTATAAGTACAAATATCAAAACTATAAATATTAAATGTCAATCAAAAAAATCAAATTTATTATTATGTGTTTTACTTAAACAAAAACTTACTTTATTTCATTATTCTTTTTCATTCATTATATCTAACACTTTACATATTGTATTTAACGAATATAAAAGAATGTCGTGTGGCTGTGTGAGCGATGGACTCATAACCAATAGGTCGTAAGTTCAAATCCTGCATCCCTCTGTATGTACAGAAAATCCGTACATACATCCTTTTATATATACAAAAAAATTTCGTACTCACTTAGCGGGAGTCGTAGAGGAGTTCTTTAAATCTAGGTAACTCTTTGACTGTTCAGACATATAGGGATCCATTCCTCCGCTACTACTACTAACAATTATGAAAATTTAGACGTACTTGACCTAGAAGAGTAGTCACTAGATTGGCGTGGACGATTATCTGTCCGACTGATCCATTCCCGTGGTTTTTCCCATTGAGAAACTTCCGTCTTGCAGTTGTAATAATACTTCTTTCCTGACGAACTCATGTGTTCGGACCAATCGCCAAATCTGGCTGTCCGTTCCGTTGCACCTCCTCGCTCATCACCACGTTTATCCTAAACAGACTGTTCTAAAATTTCCGGAAACAATTGAATAGATGGGGAATATTTGCATCAATTCCAAAACGTGTTCGAAAAGTTGACGTTATATTCATCTATATTCTTGAGGCTATTAAGATATTGATTACGTACACATAAAGTTATTTAAAATTATGGTAGCAAACAAAAATGTATATAGAAGTTTTCAGAATAGTTTTTTTTTTAATCAATGGAAATAAATATATAATTAAATTTTGCTATTGGAATGAATGTATAACAATTAAATAGTATAATTTTATCTTTTACTTAGAATTTTGAATTTATAACTGATGCCAATATAAAATGAATAAACGTAATTATAATACACTAACCTGACAGGAATTGTGTGATGGTTTTCTCTGGGATGAAGATTCCCTTGATGAATTTGATGATAATTTTAAGGGATGTAAGATCTATAAAGACATAAACACAAACGTTATTATGATAGTGCACATGCATCTAAAAAGATATATATTTGTTTTTAATTAAAAAAGGCATGCAATATTAAATGCCTTTTTAAAGTAAAGTTTTAAATAAATTCATCAGACTGTGACCACATACAAGTTATCTAACAGTCCATTTGCACATGAAACGTTTTTAATAAAAGCTTATTATGACTGCACATGCTTAAAAAAATAGATATCTATTTCATATATGTATATATTTGTAATTTAGATAGATATATTTAAAATTTTCCCAAAATTAAAAATTTCTAATTCTCTTCTTTGCAAGAGCTTTTTTTGTCTATTTATTTAATATTTTTTATAATAGAAATTAAAAATAGTAAAAAAATTTATAATTTCATACACAGCATGAGTAAAAATAAATTTATGTCTAATAAGTAAAGATTTATTATACATATAACACAATAAATGTTTCCGAGCAACTCTGAAAAAGATCTGAAGAATACTTAATTGACAATTATATCCTTTTTATTATATGTAATAATCATTAAATTAGACATTAAGGTCGAAGATACTCACCTCCCCACTACTCCTATCGTGGTTGGTCCTGTGTTCTGAATCCCTGCTCTCACGGCTTCTCTTGTCTTTTAGGGATCGTGCACAATCTACACATATGCAAGCAAGCATGTTACAGCTGAAAATATTAAGAGACAATTCTGTTTTTATACTGGAGAAAGGAAAGGGAGATGAGACTCTAGATAAAAAAAAGGAAAATTGTATTATTTCATAGAAATATTACCACCTATACGTTATACAAAAAAATACGTAAACTGATATTTATGAATTTGTATTCAATAATATTCACAAATTTATGCTTTCTTTATTGGGTAACTGTTAAAATATAAAAGCTCGCTTTATGCAGAATGTTGAGGACACACGAAAATAATAGTTTTGTTAAAGAATCTAAAAATTTACAACTCGATACAGATCCGAAAATAATTTTGTTTGCACCATCAAAATAATTATGTAAAACGTTTAAACATTGATTGACAATGCTGCAAAAAGTTTTATTATTCTAGTGGCTACTAGTTTAAACGTCTTACATAATTATTTTGATGATTCAAACAAAATTATTTGCATATTTATCAAGTTAAAATTCAGTTATTTTAACAAAACTGTTCTTTTCATGGACCAAAATAAAAATTATTTACCGGAATACTTGTCCCTAGAGGAGGATAGTTTATAGTCTCTATTTTCTCTCTCCTTCTTGTAAAGAGGCTTGGATGTGTAATTCCGAGGGCTGTCCCGGTCCGTCCCCATGCCCATTCCCAAGCTGCCGGCTGGACTGTAAGAGTTACCATTTGGAGAGTCGCGCATACGTCCTTCGTAGCGACTGTCCGATGACGTGGTCGAGGAGGAATAGCCACCCTTAGAACTGCTGTACTTTGCGTTCTACAATCAGATCATTAACAATGTGTTTGGGATATGCATGACCACACAAGACATTATATAAATGAATCGGATACATCAAGATTGCTTACTTTTTTCATTCTGAATATATAAGATCGTTATTAAAAATGCTATTAATTATTATAAGCTTGATAATCCACTTGAGAATAACAGATTGTTTTGATCTAGTGGCCGTCTGCAAGAATGTATGTGTGAGAGCTATATATTGACTCTAATGATATTAAAAAGAACTCAAAAGGAACAAATATCAAATATTGAATAACGTTATGGTCAAAATGATTATATAATTCTGAAAAATCTCTGGTTCTTCTATGGAATCAACGGGATTAAATTGAAATCAATCACCAAATATTCATTCCATAAAATCACCAAATTTTTTTAGAAATACCAATTGCGCTTACCATCTCTGACTATCTTTTGTATCAATTATGCACATATTCTATTTTTAATCTAAGGACAAATTTTTCAATTAAACATTTTTCATTCCAGTATAGACTATATGAATATTTCCCAATATTATACTACAAAGACATGTTATATTATGTTGTATCCTAAATTTTTCAAGTACAAAGAGAATCTACCAAGTTACGGTGACTTGAGGATTATCACATTTACAGTTATTTCCGACAAAATACAGAAGAAAATGATGCAAAAGCTATTGAAACATGAGAGGGAGTGAAATAAGATTCTTACCGAGATAGGATCTCAAATATTTTTAGAGGATTACCTGCTAGAATAAATTATTGATTTTTTGAAAAGTGAGGTTATGTTTACAAGACCAGTAGGAAATTATTTCGTATCGGACGTAAAAATCGGGCGATACTGCGATTAATTACCATTCTCCCCATCTCGTGTGGACCAATTTAAGTATCGAGAACATAAATATTCGATTGTTAATACCACCCAGCACAAATGATAGCTTCAAGAGGACAAACACCACAGACAATCAATGAGAAGCGTGGGACAAATTCTTACAACTAATTACAGCTACAATATAAATTTATCTGTAAAGTACCTCAATTATTCGCATCGCGACAATGCGTTTAATGTACGAAATATTGTCAATGACCAAAATGTCACTTGTCAAAGCCGATTCTTTTCGCCTCGTCGAGCTCGTTAAATGCTTGCGTTCGAGGAGTCTCACGCGTAATATAGCAAATTGCCGACGATTAAGCCAATCGCGCGACGATTCGGCGACGACGTTGGCGCGCCTCGACCTGGCGAACGATCGACTCTACCTTGCTCGCGTGCGAGTGAGGAAAAAATCGGAACGAGGAACGCGGTAATAACGACGACAAAGACAAGCCCGATGCGGCGGGAGCGTGCACAATGGAGCAGACGATCTCGCGGGGACGTAACGACGCGTGAAAAATGAATCGCGCTGACGCGATCGTCCGGACGTCGTCTTGCCGCGGAATCGTCGTCGAACGTGCATTATCGATTCCCGGCCGCGCGACCGCGAGGTCCGCGAGTCCTGAGCCCTGGCGGAAAGAAAACGACGGCGAACGGGGCCCGTTTCTCACCACCGTGCCCCGTCAGCCGAGAAACCGAATACGAACTTTGGAACTGCTCTGCGCGGACGAGGGCTGTCACCGCGGTTGAGTCCCGTCGTGTCCTCCGCGCAAGAACCGGAGCGATCTCATCTTTCTCCGTCTCTCTTTCTCTTTCTCTCCTCCTCCTTCTCCTCCCCCTGTCTTCAGCAGACGTGTCGCGCGGGTAACGACGCGGAACCACGGGCGAAAATAATGCGTTGCTGCTCGACGACAATGGGACGATGAAGACTCCGATGATCGTACCAGACGACGTGAGAGAGGCTGTCCGTCCCGAGAAATGATCACACCTCCCCCCCTCACCCCCTCCCCGACCCTTAACCGTATCGTAGATCCCACCAATCGCTTCGGTGGTGACAGATATTTACCTGATAGGGATGGGCCTGGTGCTTTTCGAAGTACCTGGAATCATAAGACAACGGGCCGTGAGCGAGGGAGGTCGTGGCGCGGTGTCCGCCGCCGTCGCGGTCATTTCCACGGGGAACGGCACCCGAGCGAATCCCCATCGTGGAAACTGGTCGTGCCCGCGGTACGTCGTGCGGCGGTTTTGTGGCAGTGAGTGCTGCGATGCGTGTGTACGGTCGAGCGGGTCGTACGGACGAATGGACGGATGTCGGGTGAACGAGAGGTGAGGTGAGCTAGTGCGGAGAGAGCGCGCGAGAGAGAGAGAGAGAGAGAGAGAGAGAAGCGAGAGGGAGAGAAGAGATAGATAGAGCGAGAGAGATAGAAAGAGAAAGAGAGAGATTAGCCGTGTGTCAGTATCGGGTATTTGACGGTAGAGCCCTACCCATCGCTGATCCTTTGAGGTTTCCTCGCATGCATTACCATCAATGCCAGTGTCTGTGGGAAATTCGCGGCCTCGGATGTTCCCTTTTCGGTCGGTCAGTGTCATAAAAACAACATTAACGTTTATTTAGCAGTTAACTTTCTTTCTACCCGGACGCCATGTCACATACGTGCTCGGCCGCTGCCGGGCGACTTGGACGAAACGCTCGCGCGACGGCGTGCGCGCAGTGAGCGCACCCCGCTGGTGGGGGAGCTCCGATCACGTCCAGGGACGTGGAGCACGAAGGTGCGCGGCGGATATTGTTTAGTTCCATAAATGCATACTGGTATACATATAGATATATATGTGTGTGTGTGTGTAGCGTATATCGGTATATGTATATACGTGTGTACAGCACACTAAACCAATCGTTTCAGCGAGCGCCGAGAGCCGGGAGTTTACACAAGCTCAGAACACGATACGCCCAACGCGACTATCGCGACTATGTTAGCCATTTGTGCCAATCGTCAACTTCCGGGAATCCATAATCTCGCAGGAAACGCGTCTCCTCCGAGATTCGCGATCGTTAACGCGAATACGAGCCGCGAGTTCAATCATATCGGTCCGCTAATTTCCCCGCGGATATTCCGAGAAAAAAAAAATTGCATTTGTCGGGAAAAAAATGGAATTTCAGAAGGATCCTCTGTAATATCCGCACGCACCTCCGGGAATATCCAACGTTCGCCAGTTTACGTACATACAACACGCGTGACGCGGCGTGGCACGGTCGTCGCGATTGTCGCGATTGTCGCGAAATATCGTGATTATCGAGCACGCACCTGACGCGACGGTGACGGACGGTTCCGCGCACTGCGCAGAGCGGGCGTGCGCAACCTGCGCGCACGGCGCCGTGCGCCGTCGGGGCCATCGGCCGTTGCAGCAGGCGAGACGCGAGGAGCGCTCGCTCACTGCGCTCACTGCGCTCCCTGCTGACGTTTGCGCAGCCGAGCGATCTGGAGCGATCGGCAGCTTCACCGAACTGTAGCGTTTTCGCTACGAGTTCTGAATTCTCAACGAGTTTGATTAATAACGTTGTTCTACTATTGGTAGAGCATGAACGTTATTAAGCCGACTTGGGTTGGTGCTATTAGTTGCGTTTGCCTTAGATGCTTTCATCGCTTTTATGCTTGTACTCTTATTTTACGTATATATAGCCAATTATATTATACACTGATTTAACGTGCGTAAAAATAAAATGTAAATATTTCGAATTGTAAAATACAGATTTTTACTTAATCGCAATGAAATGTATTGAGCTTTTATGAGCATCTCTTATTATGTGTTTGAGTTTTATATTAAACACATATTTCTCAATTTGTGTATGTACGATGGCTTTAATGTGCACCAGTGCGTACCGAGTGCATTCAATCGAATTCATTATAATGAACGATAAAGAGGCGCTCGGATAAAATGTTTGCACGATGCTAGTACATTCTGATATCCAGCCAACTCCTCGTCTGACGTAACTCCTATCTGACAGCACATCGCGATCCGCACGCTGTGCGAATATTGTGCTTGTAAAAGCGCCAGTAATCAGACTTAAAATTTCGACTACACGTCGTGACCAATCGTGACAGCACTATGCAAACATCACCTGCTTTATCGTACAAAATGACATAATAACTGCAGCGTATTGACTGTGCTATACATTGGCACAATGTGCTGGCATGCGAGGTTATTTAGGGATACTTAAAGCACGTAAAAACGTTCAATCCGAACGCAGGTCGCAGCCTTGGCGAGTTGCGAGTGTCTTCCGACAGGCGGCGCGTTGTCAACGCAAGCGGCTGAGCTACAACGAACGAACGAGACGAGTGGCTGTGTCTCTGAAATATCACTGGCTAAGTGAACCCCCGTGACACGGGCCCGTGTTGGGGACCAAGGCCAATATAAAGGAAGAAGAACGAGCAGCGAACGAGTGAGCGAGCGAGCGAAGTGTGTCGTTGTCGTCGGCAGCGAACAGCGATTAACGAGCGGAGCACGAACGCGTCCTGACTCCTCTGCCTTGCGCGTTTAGTGGTCGTAAATCTCGGAGGAAGATGCCGCAGCCTCACGGACGGCTAATTTAGCTTGATTTAGCTGCTGGCTGCTGCTGCTGCGGATGGAAGAACGGCTACGGGCTACGCCAGATACCGTGATTCGGATGCGACTTGGAAGAAACGCTCGGCCAGGAAGAGAACTCGCTCAACCGGGAAGAGAAGCCTCTACGTTGACAGGCCACTACACGCCAAGAGGGCACGGCGGGTTATCGACACATCAGAAATCTGCGACAGACGCTGTAAGACGAAGAGACTTTTTCTTTTCGAACGATTTCGGATCATTTCCCTCGTGATACCCTCGTTCCTTGCCACGAAAAAACGCGGAACCACTGCATGATAATTTTACATGAAACATCGCGTGCCGCTATGATATTAAAGTCTGCACCTGTCATGATATCTGAAAGTTGTTGGCGATTTCTGACAATACGTTTAGATATACCTATTTCTATCACGCTACTCTTTTAGTTTAGTAATTTAACTTTTCTATTAATTACTATATCTATGTATAACAAATTTTAACAATTGTAGTTTTGCTATTTTAAACATTTGGCTTATATATATTACTTTTTATTTTAATATGATATAATTTTATCATAAATATAGCATACACAGAAAATAATTTTAATACCTGATTAATAATAATAATTATTATTTAAAGTGCCAACAGTCAAGTGAACTTAAATTTTTACATTTAATACATTTTTTATGTATATCATAAAACATATATTTTTTATAAATTTGTAGAAACAAATTTTAATAGTCAGTAATTATGCCTTTCTATACTTGACTTGATTGGTACAAGATGTTTGTCTATTAAATAAAACATTATAAATTTCATCAACATTAAAATATAAATTTAAAACATTAAATATTGATTATTGTGTTGTGCATGCTGTAAGTCTTTTTATAATTGCAGAGGATTTGTAGTGTAAACCTACAGAGCTACAGAGGAAGATATCGTTATGGATACCAATTCTAAATGTGAAAATAATAAAAATACAAAAAAACGTTTAAAAAGTCAGGAAAAAAGTCTGGAAGACATCAGATTGGAAGATAATAACAAAATTGAACAACTACTTCCATGGTTACTAAAATTCAATAAAATCATACGTTCGTGTACAGGAAGTAGAAATTATGAACATCTGGAACGATTGGTTTTCTTCTACACCCAGTAAGATTATCATTTACATCAATATGAAGATCCAATTCAACGTTGTTAAATTTTTTACAAGTAGAAATTTCACACATGTATAAACAGATCAGGGATTAAATAAAGTATATACATAAAAGATATGTAATTTTGCTGTATTTCAGGAATATTCTTTCTAGCGTAGCAGAGAACACTGTCGAATTTAATGATAAAATTAATTTGATAAAAAACCATATTAATAAAATGTTAATATTCTTTCACATGTATTGGCTTGATATAAAACAACAGGTACTATTAATCCTAATTATTTGTTTTCATTTTACAGATTTGTAAATATAAGATCATTGTTAATCTTTCGTCTTTTCTTTCTCAGAATGTAGATTATAGTCAATATTTAAATAAAATATCAGCTTTGTTAAATGTGTACATAGATATGGAGTTAAAAACTTCTAGTCACGTCGTTAAAGATTCTTCTGAAGTTGCTGCAAAGATTCTTGCAGCATTGTACATATATCTAAGTAAGTGTTATCAAAAATTGATTTTGGAAAAATTGATTCGATCTGACTGCCGATAAATAAGAGAGAGAAAGAGAGTTCTCTAATATTAAACTGTTTACAGATAACTCGGAAGAACATATTTTCAGGATATTACTTAGAAATACACACACAAAAAAATATACAAAAGTATGCAATCATATATTTATGTACGTAAATATATTTTTTAACATATTATATTATAGATATCTCAGACAATATTGAGATAATACAGATTATATTTTTTTACGTAGGAGGAGCTTTACTAATCTCAAAACAAAAACGACGTCTATAACCGATGTAGCTTATATCAGATATTTGCTCGCCTTTAAAATATGGAGAAAAATGGAAGAAACAGCAAAGAAGTTAAATCTTTCTGACCAAAAGAAAAGAATTGATGAGTTAGCCCTAATGCTGTTAGGACCGCGTATGCCAAAATTGCAAGATGAATTATTGAAATTTGTGCCTAGACCACCTATTCAAGAAAAAAATGAAACACTATGGTTAATAGAATCGAACCAATTTGATATAAAGGAATTTCATAAACAGTTCCTGCTATTTGAAGACAAAATGGATAACTCTACAGGTTTAAAATGTACCAAAACAATTCATGCTGATCAGACTTGTTCAAAGTCTCAGGTAAGATCTTTACATTTATTAAGTATAATGCAAATTTTAACGTTTGGGATACTGCTTTTTCAGAAGCATCAGATAAATTCGTTATTTCGTCCAAATAATTTCAATGGAGGTACATCTGAACAGAAAATAAATGAATGCTTAGATGGTTTACGAAATAATAATACATTATCAAATAATAAAAATAATAATGATAAATGTTTGGAAACTCATTTACAAAAAAGTGAATCATTGGAAGAAAACAATTCACACAAAATTATAATAATTGATTTAACTGGAGATGATAAAGTAAAAAGAAAAAGGACTAATCGAAATTCAGAATCTTCGAAAGTTAAGAAAAATAAGAGAAACAAAAAGAAGCATATCAATTCTTCAAAATATTCAAACAAACTTACAAATTCCGATGTTAAAGAACGTTCTAATGAAGCCAACAAAAACTTAAAAGAAAAATATCATTTAGAGTCTAAATCTGTTGATATCAAAAGTAGTAATGGTACAGAGAATTGTACTTCAGTTAGCAGTGATACCTGTATGGAGTTTACAAAAGAGGATGAGAAACAACACAGTTATAACTTGCGTTATTTGAAATCACCAATGTTAGACGATCAGAATATTAACGAGTTGAAGGCTAAAGTGTCGAAAAAAAGTAAATTAAAGAATTGTGTATCATCTAATATGACAATAGAAGATATAACTAGTTCTTGTGACAATTCGGCAACACAAAATAAGGATGCATTAACATCTCAGGAAGAAAGTGCCATGGAGACAATACCTTTAAAAACGTGCCAAAACAATGTTGCAGGTCAGCAGAATTGTCAATTTGATTTTAAGCAAGAATTACCAACAAGCACGGATTGTGCGATACAAACATCGTGCCCGTGTTGCAATACAAGGCATGTCGATCACTTTATAATGACTAGTTTGCAGTTTATAACTGATCGTAGCTCACTAATTACGGAAATGATAAAACAGAATGTATGTCAAGTTAATAAATGTCCAAAGTATTGTACAAATGTTATCGTGGCAAAAGCACAAGGGAATCTGCATAACACATTTTACGATAATAAAAACGATGTCAAATTGACTTGCGACACAATAAAAAATGATTGCAATAAATATGTTTATCTTTTGAATCATACTGATAAATGTGTCACGACTGTACACGCTGAAAAGAGAGTGCAATGTTTAGATAAATCCGATGACAAATGTACCGTTTCAACTACATTTACTGAAGATCAAGTTGTAGACCCACCATCGTATAGCCAACATGTCAATTTTGGTAATTTTGTAAAAATAAATGATCACGATAGTAAATATTCTGAAACTATGATAAAGGAACAACAAAAAGAAAGTGATTCTTTTATATTAAACGATCGATTACATTTCTCCAATGTAGAAGTCGATTGCAACATGAAAAAATTTTTCCCCAAAAAAGAAGAAACTAACGAGATGACAAACAATTATATAGACTTGGAGCACAATTTCGTAAATGATATTCAAAGTGAAACTCTTCTGGAAGATGTCTTCTGGCAACCTTCTGAACAGCCCGAAATTAATTTAACCGGTGTACTAAATAAATCTGAGGACACATGTATTGTCTCAACTACATTTATCGAAGATCAAATTATGGAATCGTCAATGGACAGTCAGCGTGTCAATTCTGATAATAGAAGAAAATGTGTTTATGAAGATACGATGAAGGAACGAGGAAAAAGCGATTGCGATACTTTGATGTCCTCTGAACATACGTTTGATACCGACTTTTTCGAAGTAGATTCAAAAGAAATTAGTGAAGTAATGAAAACTAATTGTATAAATGACTTTGATGATATTAATGTCTCAAATTTTGGAAATTTTCAAACTTTGGAAGATTTATTATCGAATGACACTACTAATTTCCTATCTCAGGAATATTTGTTTTAATTAAAATATATATATATACACATACATCATTTAACAAAAATGACGTTCTATGCAATAATCAAAATAATGCTATTGATAGTAATACAAATCTGATAACTTCTCATTTAAATGCTGATAACACCTTTCTGCAATTGCCAGCAAAGTTTGATAAACCTATGTCACTAAATCGTAATGAATTTCATCACAATGCTAAATATTATTGTAAACTAATTCAAATATCACTCTTTTAGATTTCATAGTCATGGAATTTCGATACTCTTCCTAATAAGTGAAATAATGATATCTGAACTAAATATTTTTATGTTTGCAAGAAAGAAGATGTTGAAAGCTTTCATATCCTGAAAGATAGGCTAAATTAATTCTTTAAATGAATTTTATATATTCAAGAATATTTAAAATGTCAAATTATTCGATAAAAAAAGAAAAGATTCTGCCTCAACATCATATTGCATAAGATACATATTAGCGCCAAGACACTATCGTGTCTCCAGATTTTCGTCCCTGAATGATTCTGGTTGACTTTTAATTAAAATACTATTTAATCGAAATGTAGATCGTACATTTATGCCACTAAGTGTCGCAAGCTATCAAATATAACAGATTTTTATTTACCGAAGAAACCGTGAAGAAAAAAATACAGTACAATAACGATGTTCACAAAAAAGTCATATTGAATAATTTCCAACCTCAAGAGAGATGAGTTACAGCAAGTTTTTAAAGAATTTTATTGACTTCTGCTTCTCAATATATTGAGATATGCCGTCAAGAAATTGCTTACTATCGTAAAAGGAATAATCTGCTTGAACATCTTACGCAAAACTGTATAAGATAAAATTTTATTTTGAATGAAATCTTAATAGTAATTTAAGACTACATCACAATAATTATAATTGAGACCATAGATCATAAGGTAACAAATATCATTAAGAAATAGACTGTCAGATGCATCAAATCACCACCCACTGAAAAAACATCTAAGAAGAAAAAAGAAAGAATCGTAGTTTTGTTCCTTCAAAATGCTAAATAAAATTGTTTACTCTGATTCAGTACGAGAAGGAAGTTCTATTTTCTACATTAAAAAAAGGTAACTTAATATTTAAATCTATGTTTTTAAATCTTATTATCATTTGAGGTTATTGTATTATTTTTTAGAATTATAAAATCTGTAAAACATTACGCACATATACTCCTACACAGAAGAACATCAAGATACATGATACACCTTCGAAGATTATCCTCTTCTTATATCAAAATTATTTATAAAAATTGTGTTGGCGTTTACTATAGAAAATATTTGTAGAATTATCATTTTTTTTAATTTCACAGAATATTAATAAGTGATAAATTAAAATCTATTAAAATTTGAATATAAGAATATATATATA